GTGGGCGCTTCAACACTGAAGGTTTCCCTAATCTGATGATGGGAGTTGTAGTCCCGGGGGGGGGGGGGAATCTACCCAATCTGCTTTTTCTTTTAGAAAAACAATTTTTAAAAAACGAGTAAGCAAAGTACTGTCGAGGCAGGCTAAACCATGCAAAGGTCAGTTGCAGGAATTGGGTATGGCCAGTCTGGAGAAAAGAAGGACAAGGGGGGACATGATAACAGTATTCCAATATTTATGGGCCTGCTCCAAAGAAGAAGGGGTCAAGCTATTTTCCAAAGCACCTGAAGGCAGGACAAGAAACAATGGATGGAGATTAATCAAGGAGAGAAGCAACCTGGAATTAAGGAGAAACATCCAAACAGTGAGGACAATTAACCAGTGGAACAGCTGGCCTCCAGAAGTTGTAGGTGATTAATCACTGGAGGTTTTTAAGAAGAGATGGACAACCATTTTCGGAGATGCATAGGGTTCCTGCCTGAGCAGTGGGTTGGATAGAAGACATCTCTTTCAACTCGGTCCTTCTGTTCTGTTCTTATCCAAGAGAGAAGCAATGTAGAACTAAAGAGAAATTTGCTAACGGTGAGATCAATTAACCAGTGGAACAGCTTCCCTACAGAAGTTGTAGATGCCTCATCGCTGGAGGCTTTCAAGAAGAGACTGGGACAGCTATTTGTCTGAAATGCTGTAGGGTTTTTCCTGTTTGACCGGGAGTGGGGGTTGGACTAGAAGACTTCCAAGGTCCCTTCCAACACTTGTTATTTGGATTTTTCCATTCGGGGGTTCCTACTGCTAAAAAGAAACCAAGGAAGGAAAATCAATATTTAGTGATGGAGTGAACTGGCCACTGCATGTCAGCATTGCTCTAAATTATACCAAGAAAAAAAAATAAAAGGAATAGTTAAAAAAAAAACCCACGGCTTTGTAAAAGAAACGTTCCAGAAAGGCTTAGAGAGGATCAGAGCCAATCAAACCGTGAAGTTCTTTGATTAGGATGCTGTTCCTTCAACTTACTTCATCTTGTGAAATAAGCCGGCACCCGTAACACTGATGGTTTTTCTTCTTTTAAACCAAACCCGTGTGGGTTTTTTTTTTAAATAACAAAATGCATCTTGCCAACACGAATGGGGGATTTTTCCGTGCCAACACGTGGAAATCGTTTCCTCAATAAATAAACATACTTCTGTCCATTGTAGTCCACTCTGCAAGGTGAAGAATCCAAATAATGAAAGAAGAAATGCAAGTTTCCCTGTGCATCGTTTGCTCCCTGTCACCTGATAATAGATCGTCACGTTATACAGAAAATACATAGTTTAGAACTGGCCCTTTCTCACAAAAAGACATCTAACCCACAAAGTTATTATTTTGCCTATGCTGGGAGAAAGTAGATCACAGTTTTTTCCATTCTTTGGGGTCCTTGGGGCTCTCTGAGCTTGGTGGCTTTCTTGCAGACGTTTCATTACCAAATTAGGTAACACCAGCAAGTGCTAGAAGGAAGGAGGCTGTACTCTTTATATTCTAGTAACTAGTTGATCTTATTTAAAGACAAAAATAAGAGGTTCACGGTGAAATGGGAGGCATATGATTTTTAAATAATCAAACAATGAATAACTGTAAGCTACTTCATGAAATAGGCTCCAAGGAGTACAGTGGCCAATCTGCCAGCTGAATCGAACCCATCGGATGACCTCTGTACGGACAGAAATAGGACTGGTATTTTAAGTTGCCAGTTTGGAATGAATGGGCGCAATGTTATATTTGTGAAAATGGAGAATCAAAGGTGATTTCTAGTTCTAGTGAAAAGAAGCAGAAGGGGAGACTTGATAGCTGTCTTCCAATATCTCAGGGGCTGCCCCAAAGAAGGGGGAGTCAAGCTATTCACCAAAGCAAATGAGGGCAGGACAAGAAACAATGGATGGAAGCTAATCAAAGAGAGAAGCAACCTAGAACTAAGGAGACATTTTCTGACAGTGAGAACAATTAATCAGTGGAATGGCTTGTCTCCAGAAGATGTGAATGCTCCATCACTGGAGGTTTTTTAGAAAAATTTGGATAGCCATTTCTCTAGAATGGTATAGGGTCTCCTCCTTAAGCAGCAGGTTGGATTAGAAGACCTTCAATACCCTTCCAGTTCTGTTGTTCGGTTGTTCTGTTAGGACTTCTTTCTTCATCCCAGAAGAACAACTGCATACAACTTGTGGACATTATAACTGAAGCCTGATTTAAACATCTGCTATTCCTTCATCGTTTTTAATATAAAACTGTGACCTAGTTTAACTGTCATGTTTTGAATAAGCTACAACTGGCTGAGGTTGCCAGAACATGACAAGCTACACTTGGTTTTAGAACAGATTCAGCTTGTAGTTATATTACTGACGAGCTGTTTACTAATCCATCCAATATTTTGGGTTTACATACCAGTTATAACTTAAACACATCAGTTGGGTCCAACATACTAAGCCAACTATGTAGTTTGGAGGTGTTTTTTTGGTTGGGAGGGGTCAAACAATGGCTGAGCAAATGGAGGTTTTGTGGCATCAAAAGCTGTCCTATCTGCTAGTTCACTCCTTAGTCTGTTGAAATGTTCTACAGGATTTGAAGACTGATTGATTGATAGTTAATTTATGGATTGATTGATTGATTATGTGCCATCAAGTCATTTCTGACTCCTAATGACCACATAATCTTATTTTCTCTATGATGAATGGTCCTTAACATGTTCCTTCAAGTAGTCCAACAATCCTCTCCTTGCCTTCATAATTAAGTCCATCTCCCTTGTTGCTGGTCATCCCCTTCTTCTTTTTCCTTCATCCTTTTCCAAGCAGGAGAGCCTTTTCAAGAGAGCTGGGTCTTGGCATTAGATGCCCAAAGTAAGAACATTTAGCCCAGGGATCTCCCAACTTGGCCACGTTAACACTTGTGGACTTCAACTCCCAGAATGCAAGTTAAAGTCCACAAGTCTTAATGTGGCCGAGCTTGGAGACCCTTAACAGAATTTGGAGATAGGACCCTCATTTTCTACAATGATCTTCAGAGCTGAAGAAACTTCTTGGATGAGAAGCGAAATGTCTTCAAAAGAAAAAAAAAACCAAGAAAGTCTAGTTGCCTCTGAAAAAAAAAAAAAATGGACCTCTGGGACAACCACAACTTGGAGGACCGAGAATCTCTACAGATTTTTAGCTATACGATTTGGGATGAAGACCCTTTGAATGGTGTGGGAGCAGGAATGGATTTCCAGAGGAAAAAAAAATTGCAGACTACAAAAACCAGGAGCTTTACTCAGGTGACCCTGAGGACACAGATAAGCCTCCAAGAGGCCTCAATAACCCTCCAAAAGGATGCAAATGACCAGCTGTCTGTCCTTCCATTCCCCACTATCCTGTCAGAGCTGAAGAAGCGTCTTGGATGAGAAGCAAAACATCTTCAAAGAAAAAAACAAGGAAGTCCGGTTGCTTCCTGAAAAAAAGCACCCTTGGGACAACCATGACCTGAATGACTGAGAGTCTCTACAGATATTCCAGCAGTTTTCAAAAATAGCTGTAATAAGAAATCTGGAAGTTATTGGTGATTTGGAATTCACTCTGTCTGTAATCACTGGGGGCAGAGTTCTCCCACCTTGGAGGCAGAATTTGAAGAAAGACTTCCAGCTTACCTAAGCAGAATTATGGCATTAAATAGTATTGACGTCAGCAACGGTTTGCGTATGTCAGCGTAAACTTTATGGATGGGGAGAAGAACAGATAGGTAGGCATCTTTCTTTAAAGAAAAAAATGATTTATAGCAGAAAGATTTCCAATTCGGAGGAGGCCTTGAATGTCAGCTGCACAATTATTATACTCCCGAACCAGTGAATGCAAAGGCAACGCAAACGTGGCTTTTGGGAAATTGCGCTCTCTCTCCTTCCAAATCATTGGCAGGTATAACCGAAGGGCAATGCTCGACAAGATTGTTGGTTCAGCGAAAGAATGATAAATTGCCAGGGACTTCAGCCAATTCTTTGCAAACAACTGAAAAGTTCCCTTAGCGTAACCTTCTTCTTAGTAGGTGAGGTTTACACATTAGCCCAATTTGGGTGTGTCTAGATAGCACATGGAAATCATAAACCATGACTAAAGTCAGACCTCATGCTAGGCTGCAATTTCAGTAATAGCGGCAGCCTTTAGACCAGCGGTCACCAATCGGTGGGCCGGGGACCACTGGTGGTCCGCAAGAAAATTTTGTGGCCCGCAGAGAAATGCCCCTCCAAAGCAATTCAACCAGGCTGTGCAGGAACACAAAGCTGCGCTGACCACATGGCCCGTCCACCTGCTGGCCCTCACCTTTCTGTCAAGTGCAAATCTTACCTTGAGTAGAGCCACGTGAGCTGGAACTGGAAGGTAAGACCAACAGCAGGGGAGGGAAATCCACCCCGGGCTGGCTTGCTGACATTGGTGGGAAAGTGGGTCCCCTATTCCAGAGCTGCAGTAGTCAGAAGACTGGCCCTTTGGTCATCCCAGAGCAGCTCACCCGTGGCAGGAGGGTGCACCCGGGTGGAAGAGCAGCTGCTCTGGGATGACCAAAGGGACAGTCTTGTGACTACTGCAGCTCTGGGATATGGGACCGACTTTCCCACCCACGTCAGCAAGCCACCGTTGGTCAAAATCCATATTAGTGGTCCGCGGGATTTAAAATTATGAATTTGGTGGTCCTTGATCTCTAAAAGGTTGGCGACCCCTGCCTTAGGCCACATATGGGATGCTGCTGGTTTGCACCGGTTCTAGTGAACTGGTAGCACCGGTGAGCAGTTGGCCTCCCCACCCGCACCTGCCCTTTCCTGTCCTATATTTCCTTCATTTTTAGCTGAACTGATTTGCGTGGCAGAGCGTATTGCCGTGACTCAGCTGTTTTACTAACCAGCACAAATAGAAGGTAAGTTTTGAAGCGTAAAATTGGTGGGTTTCGAACATTGCATGAAGCACTCTCTCATAGAACCAGTAGTAAAAAAGGTTGAATCCCACCACTGCCTTAGACTTATATACCACCTCACCGTGCTTTACAGCCCACTCTAAATGGTTTATAGCATCAGCCTCTTGCCCCCAACAATCTGGGTCCTCATTTTACCCACCTCGGAAGGATGGAAGGCTGAGTCAACCTTGAGCCTGGTGAGACTCGAACTGCCAAATTGCAGGCAGCCGGCAGTCAGCAGAAGTAGCCTGCAGTACTACACTCTTAACCACTGCGCCACCGCGACAAACCAACAGAACTTTGTGCAACACATCGCACCAGCTCTTCTCTCAGTGTTTACAACATTTGAAATGTTATCTGGTATTAGACAGCCGGAAGAAGTCATTCCCTATATAACATGGAGGCCTCTTTAAGCTCAACCGCTTCCTTCAAAGAGTTGGCATTTGGGAATTTCAAAGGACTGATCTTCAGATCAAGCCCAGCATGCGTGTTTACAGTATCAGGACATGTTTCTCACAAACTCCTCCTATTCTAAAGAGTTTATTTCCAGAAGTTCAGTTTATTGTAATTATTTTTGAAGACTTTTTTTTTTAAAGGCCAGAAATGACTGGATTTTACTAATGGAAACAGTGAAATGGGTCAAATTTCTCCAGAATTGGGCACCTGGTAGATACTGTTTTTTATTCAAAGCTTAGGAAATTCTCTCTCTCTCTCTGTCTCTCTCTTTTTTTGAAATCTTGAGTCAATCCCAAAATGCTTCTTTGTGGCCACCTGAATTCTCTTTCAGCCTTTTTTTTCTTCTTCTTCTTACTTTTCTCAGGACAGCTGGGATCTCTCTGCCTAAGAGATAATCTTGTACAGCCAAGAGTTTATTTATTCGTCTGTCCTCACACTTGCTTTCATACAGCTATTGCCGCACAGCGTGAATCGCCCGCAAATTAACAGTGTCCTTCTCAGTAGCATGCTGGAAACATTGGCCTGTGGTTCAGGCGATTAGACAATATGGCTCCGATCCCTACTCCGTTCTGCTTGACAGTTTTCTCACAGTTTCTGCATTGGGTCTAGAGAAAAAGTTTTTTAAAAAAAGAAAAAAAAAAGGAAAATTGTGTTCAGAGGAATGTGAAAAATAGCCAACCCACCCACCTCAGCCCAACTTAATTTTAAGCCTGAAATGAAGTTAACAAGGAGCATAATTCTGTCCCCCAAACAGGAGTTACTGCATACCATATATTTTCGTGTGGGAGAGTCGAGACAAAAATAGATTTGTCATGTTGTGCAGAGCTGACTGTAGCTAGCTGACAAATGTCAAAAATGCACATTAGTCAGTTTTTCTTAATCTTCGAGCAGGGTATTGGAATGTCTACCTCTGGAGAACTCTTCTCCTTGCTGTCTGCCCACTTATAGGAGCCTCATCGCATCTGCTGCAAAATTATTTTGCCAAGTTTATTTTCTCCCCCCCCATCAAAACTCAGGATTTGCTTGTAAACACCCGAAGAGTTCTCTAAGTTCATTGTTCTAAAAAAATGATGTAATCCAGGAGCCAGTCCAGAAGGCTGGGCCTCACCCAATCTTCACACCAGAGCCACCTACCAATCAATCAATCAGAATAGAGCTGGAAGGGACCTCAGAGGTCTTCTAGTCCACCCCGCTGCTCAAGCAGGAGACCCTACACCATTTCAGACAGGTGGCTTTCCAGCCTTTTTTTTTAAAAGCCTCCAGTGATGGAGCACCCACAACCTCCAGTGGCAAGCCATTCCACTGGTTAATGGTCCTCACTGTTAGAGAGTTTCTCCTTAATTCCAGGTTGCTTCTCTGCTTGATTAATTTCCATCCATTGTTTCTTGTCCTGCCTTCAGGTGCTTTGGAAACTAAGTTGACCCCCTCCCTATTGTGGCAGCTCCTCATATACTGGGATACTGCTATCATGTCACCCCTAGCCCTTCTTTTCTCTGGATTGGCCATACCCAATTCCTGCAACAGTTCTTCATCTGTCTCCAGGCCCTAACCATCTTACTTGCTCTTCTTTCCATTGTTTCCAAAGTCTCAACATCTTTTTTTGTCATGTGATGACCAAAGTTGGATGCAGTATTCCAGGTGTGGTCTTACTCAGGATTTATAAAACAGTACTAATACTTTTGATTTTGATTCTATGCCTCAAGGATTGTATTAGCCTGGGCTCTTCCTATAAAGACCCTTCCCTTGAGCTACTTGAGGACAACCTGTAGGTTCCTGAGAGCATCTTGACCTGGGTCATGGGAATTTAGGAAATTGCCTTTTCCTGGTTTATCATTCTTGCTCGTGGCTGGGAGAAGCTCTTCAAATTCCCAACTCTACTTGGCCAATCTAAGGTTTAAACTTGAGGTCTTAGTTCTTTGCCATTGATCTAGGATTCTGACCTGACTTGAGAAGCTGTTCTGGACCACACAAGAGTCAATTGGGTCATCAAGCTTAGAGCTTTTGGTTTGTAAGTGCTATCAGCCTCAACCAGCACCACCAATTGAAGAAGGATTAACAATACCCATAGCACTTAGACTTATACATTTCCCCATTGTGCAACTTGCCCCCAACAATCTAGGTCCTCATTTTATCAACCTCGGAAGGATAGAAGGCTGTGTCAACCTTGGATCAGGATCGAACTGCTGGAAGTTGGCACAGTTAGCCTGCCCTTGCTTATCAATGGAGACTGAGTGGAGCAAGTGACCAGTTTCAAGTTTCTGGGTGTTACCCTAAAAGAGGACCTGACCTGGGGTGCTCACATTGCAGCCCTGGTCAAAAGGGCCCAGCAGAGATTATACTGCCTGAGGCTTCTCAGGAAACAACAACTGAATGAAAAACTGCTGGTGACCTACCGCTACACCATAGAGGGTATCTTAACTTATTGCACCTGTGTATGGTTTGCCGATTGCACAATGGCAGATAGGAAAGCACTCCAGAGGGTTAATGTCATTGTCCAGAAGTTCATTGGTTGCCCTCTCCCCTCTTTGGAAAAGCTTTATAGCTCCCGCTGCCTTAAGAAAGTTCAAAACATCCTCAAAGATCCATCTCATCCTTTTTTTTTTAAACTGTTATCATCTGGCAGATGGTACAGGATAATAAAAACAAGGAAAATAGGCTGAAAAACAGCTCCTATCCCAGGGCAGTAGCTCTTTTGAATTCTACTGTATAGTGCAATATTAATGCAGTATCAGGGGTTTTCAATTCAATGTATAAAATGTGAAGGATGTGTGTTTGTGTTTATTTTCATAGTCATGATGTTCATTGAAGATGGTATTTAATTTTGTTGCATGAGGTGCAATGACAATAAACTAAACTAAACAATACAGCCTTCTAATCACTGTGCCACCACGGCTCATATTATTAACAGGATCACAGTCTGAAATGTCTCAAAAACCCTAGCTTTAAAATTTTTTGTCCTGTTTCATGCCACTCCTGTACATTATACACCCTCCTGTTCTTGCTGGGTTCTATTTGTAAAACAGGATCCATCACTCAACCAGGCGAAAAAGTAGGTAGAAAAATATTGAAATGTAAATTGTTTTATTATTATTATTTTTCTTTTCAAGAAGGCAAAGCAGGGAGCTACTTATGAAGATTTCAGCCTCTTAGCTACAATCACTCTACTAATTCTTGGCATAGGCATTTTCTAGAAGGCACAGCATCTGAACCCTAGACTTACTTTATCTCAAGCAAACTACACCGTGGGTTGTTTTTGTGTTCTGGAATACACGAGGGAAAGTGGTTATTGTCCCAAAACAGCTACTCCATGGATTAAAATATACCACAGCAACAATAGAATTAAAGAGGAGAAACGAGAGAGCTCTCCTCTCTCTCCAAATATCTTCAAAATCCAGGCGAAAACAGCCCAGGTGCACCACACACCATCCTACCCTATTCCCTGCAGCCTTGACCTCATCCCTGGAATGAATTGTATGTGACAGTCAAAACATTTCCATCCAAATTGATTGCTCTACCCAGACGTCATTCAGTTATTCTCTATTCTTGAAGAACAAAGGAGCTAGTCAGCTCACATCAGCATCCTGGATATCCTGCCAGGCCAAGAAGAGAGAGAAAAGGAGAAGAGCATTGTATAAGGAAAAGAAGGGTGGAGGTTCTGCAAAATTTCTCTGTGGAATGCGTGTGAATGTGACGATGGCCCCTTTATGATTTTGAGAATCTAGAAAAAGACCTTATAAGAGGTTGAGACTCTAGAAAGAGTGCAGAGAAGAGCAACCAAGATGATTAGGGGACTGGAGGCTAAAACATATGAAGAACGGTTACGGGAACTGGGCTTGGCTAGTCTAGTGAAGAGAAGGACCAAGGGAGACAGGATAGCAATCTTCCAACATTTGAGGGGCTGCCACAGAGAGTGGGGGGTGTCAATTATTTTTCAAAATACCCGAAAGCCAGACAAGGAATAACGGATGGAAACTGAACAAGGAGAGAGATTCAACCTAGAAATAAGGAGAAACTTTCTGACAGTGAGAACCATCAACTCATGGAACAGAAGTTGCCTTCAAAAGTTCTGGGAGCTTCATCACTGGCAGCTTTCAAGAAGAGACTGGACATTATAAAAAGATGTTGAGGCTCTAGAAGGAGTGCAGAGAAAAGCAACCAAGAGGATTAGGGGACTGGAGGCTCAAACAAACAATGAACAGTTGCAGGAACTGGGCCTGGCTAGTCTAGTGAAGAGAAGGACCAGGGGAGGCATGAGAGCAGTCTTCCAATATTTGAGGGGCTGCCACAGAGAGGAGGGGGTCAAGCTTCTCTCCAAAGCACTTGAAGGCCAGACAAGGAAGAATGGATGGAAATTGATCAAGGAGAGATTCAACCTAGAAATAAGGAGTTGTTTTCTGACAGTGAGAACAATCAACCAATGGAACAGAAGTTGCCTTCGGAAGTTGTGGGAACTTCATCACTGGAAGCTTTCAAGTAGAGACTGGACTGCCATTTGTCAGAAATGGTGTAGGGTTTCCTGCTTGGGCTGGGGAGGTTAGACTAGATGACCAAAAGGCCCCTTCCAACTCTGTTAAACTGTTAAATCTGTTAAACTTGAGGCAGCTTGAGGAGGATTTGGCCAACTTGGGAGGAGAGGTCCTTGATCCTCTTCATGGGCTGCAGCTGTGACAACTGAATAAGAGGACGGACCTGTGTACAGGCGAGCACTGGAAACAAAGCATGGAAATATCTCTAGTTTACGGTTCCTCTCTGAGTTTGGCATCCTTCCCAGTGTGTGTTTTGTTATCTGTGGACATCCTCCAGCCCTTATCTTGCCTGGTTTGTGTTGCTTTTTTCCTCCTTCTTGTAACTGTTTGTGTAGGAGTTTTTTTTTGTCTTCTATCAAGGATATTCGGAGCTTGGAAGCAAAGTGAAGGAATGAAAAAGGCTTCACCTGTTTTCTGTGTCTGTGTTTGTTTTGTATCCCACCCTGGGTCACCACAATAACCTCACAAAGCTGTTTGAGCCAACAGCAAGGCCCAGAGACTGTGCCCCATAACAGAAAGAAGAACAAGCTCACCAAACCAGCTCATCTGAAATAACTGAAGATTCCCTTTTAATGGAGAAGGTGAAATGAGGAAAAGAAAATGGATACAGGTGATTATCCATTAATCAGAGCTGAAGAAGCTTCCTGGATGAGAAGCGAAATGTCTTCAAAGAGAAACCAGAAAGTCTGGTTGCCTCTTAATAAAAGCACCTTTGGGACAACCATGACTTTGGATGACTGAGAATAGACATCTTATTGTATTAAATACTGAGTGGTATTTGATACACCTCAGCACCCATATCTCCTACTCTGCACCATATGGGGGATAATAGATAATAATAATTTGCCTCCATGTATCCCCACATATCCACCTTCCAAAGTCAACCATAATTGTCAATACAACACTGGCATCTTTCACGTACCACATCTGAGACAGTTGGTGGGCAAAATCCGTTCTTAGGGTACAATCAGTGTTTGACTGCCTTCCAACGCAATTCCTGTGCTTCTCCCACTTGCTTAGAGAGAGATGGTGGCTCTGTGGCTTAATGATGCTGGAGATGGTCTCAGCTCCAGTGGTTCGAGCCCAAGCACTGTGTGGCAGGTTGAGCTCCCGTCCCTCACCTCAGCTTCTGTCCACCTAACAGTTCAAAAGCATGTGCCATGCGAGCAGATAAATAGATACCACTTCAGTGGGGAGAAGAGATGTTACTCTGTGCAGGCAGTCAGATTCCTGAAGGCTCTGAACTTTCCCATTGGGACACCCAGGAAGGGAGGTGGCTCCAGGAAGAGAAGGGGCCTTGGGTGACCGACCCTGTCACGAAGAGCCACTTGTTTTTATTCTCTGGTACGAAGCCAACACGCCTTCCTGTGGTGCATCTTGGGAAGAGCACACCACGCATGTCCTATGACAAGGCGGGTACCTTGGCAAGCAGAACTACTGCTCTGCAATAGCATTGCAGCTACTGTAACAACACCGTACGCTAATCACAATAAATAACCCTCCTTGCTTTCTGCAACAGAATTCAGCTTCTGGGGATTGTATCATTTGTTCAAGCAATTCTCTTTGCAGAACGCAAAGAATGACCAACCTGTCCTGTATCCAATGGAGATCCGGTTCCATCTTCTTCTACGGTAGGCATGACTAATTTACTTTTTTTTTTGTTTTCATGCTCCACTATCCATAGCAACCCACCCATCAAATCAAAACGAAACCCGTTATTCTGCATTCCCACATACTCACCGGATGCATTTTAGGGCTAGAAGTTCTTTTTAAAAAAAGCAGTTTCCTAAGGAACCACATTCTCGCACGGATAAAATTGGCGAGCGATCTTCCCACACACAAACCATTCAAGCAAATGTCTGCTTTAAAATTTTGTTGTTGTTTTTTTTTTAAAAAAAAAGAAAATGCAGAAATGAGCTGGGGTTTTTTTTTGTATTTGGGATTGTTGTGGGGGTTGTGGTTTTTTTTTTTGATATTTTTTAAAAGAAAAAAAATATTTCCTTTACAATTTTATTTACAAAATGTATTAAAACTTTTTGTACAATTGCCTCATTAAAATGAGGTTCGGGAATTGATGCTCACACATGCAGTTAGCCAGAAGTTTGTTTGGCAAGGTTTTTTTTTTTCTTCTTTTGTTTTTTCTTCTGTTCATGAAGTGCAATTTTCAACAACCGATCAAGAAACAACCTAAAATTACTTTTCGAACCCCCAAAAAAAGGCAAAGGAAAAGAAAGAGGAAACCAAAACATTTTTTTAAATGCCTCTAAAGGAGCTGCTGCTTCGTCTGCAGAGCTTCAAATTAGTAGCAGATTTTTTTTGTAAGCAATTGATACTTCCCCCCCCACCCCATTTTTAAATTAACATGCACATTTTATAAAAAAAAATTACAACCCATTGACCGAACTTATCGCTAGCGTGAAGCCTTCACTCTGAAAAAGTTATTTTCATTTGATAAACATACATTTCTTTTTATACAGCTTCTATGAAAATGTCTCTCTCCCCCCCCCCTTTTTTTTTGTTCTTTTTGTTCTTTTTTTTTACTTAAATACAACATTTTTTTTTGCACAGCATTTTGCATTTCCTTTTGCTGGAACATTATAGCATTCAGGAATTTAAAATCACAGTTTCAGGAAAAAGAGCAAGTTTCTTTTTGCTTAACATCTCTGTAAAAAAAAAAGAAACACCACACACATGAGTGCCAGCTTGTTCTTCAGGAGAAATGCTTCTTGAGCTAATTTTCTTCTTGTTATTTAATGTTACTTTTGTGTGTGTGTGTGTGTGTGTGTGACAATGAAATGAGCATTTCACCCATTTTAATTTCTACAGGCTATCCCTTGTCTTATACGAACTATCAAATATATCATTAAAGAACTTATATCTTCCTTTTGAATAAGCTATCAAATATATTTCCAGCGACTTATTTCAAACATCGTCTTCTTTTTTATTATTATTATTATTTTAAAGAAAAAAAATATATCTCTCTATCTCTTATTGTCGTTTTTAATTTGAATTAATATCCAGTATGTTGTTAATGGGATGAAATGCCGCAGAGATATCACGCCGCACACATCCTGTCTTTTTGTATTAAAGGTAATTAATTAGTAGGCAGAATTTATTTTTAATTTTGAAACTTATTTGTGGTTTATCTTTTCCAGAGGACGGATGGCTGCATGGAAGGAGGTGGTTT